TTATGAAATTAACAAAAGTTGACAAAAAAAATACTATGATAGCTCAAAGTAAAATAAAAAATAAAAAATAAATAAATATTAATATAATATTATTTCGATAGGCAAGAAATTGCTAGATTCACCTAACTTGAGTTGGCAAAAAAAAAAAAAAATCATAATAATAGACAATCTGTGGTTTGCTAGCTTTAAATAAATGTTACCATGCATGATACGGTCTTGATACGCAGTTTGCTTAAAATTAGGGGTATTCATATCCCATCCAATCTGATTAATCTGATCTAAATTGGTCTAATTCAATCAAAAATCGATCCAAACTAATATAAAATTGAATTAATTTAAATTATAAAATTTAAAACTAATATAATTAGTTTAGTTTGTAATTTCACCTTCAAACCGTTTGAACTGCCCTGATTCGATCTCAAAAAAAAAAAAAAACCGTTTGAACTGCCCGATTACAAAATAAAATTCGATTACAAAACAATTTAATTAAATAATATAATATAATTTTTTGTAGTCTTTAAATTTTTATTTTATTGTACAAGATAATAACTTTGTTAATTTAATTAAAAAATAAAAATAAAACATCTCCATATTTCTTAAGTTATTTTTTTATTTTAATCATGCAGCCTAACTCTAATTCTAAATTTTTAATTCACCTACAACTTTATCCCCTAAAAATTGGTTTGCGCCTTTACTCTTAAAATCCTAAATTTGTAATTTGTTCCTAAAATAATATTATGATTTTCCTAACTAAGTTTTAAAAAAGTATTACTCTAAAAGTTTTAAAACCATATAATAAATTTAGTTTTGATATTCTATTATTATTGGATATTTGGTTTAGAAATTTTCAATTTTGATTATAAATGCTTCTAATCAATTTTAGTGATATTTATATTAAATTTTATTTACTTTTAACAGAATTTAGAAAATGTGATTAAATTATTAGTGCATTAAGAAAAAAAATTAATTTTAACCTTTAATAATTATTTACGATGTGCTAGAAACTTGAAATAATCTTTTATTGTTTTTGGTGCCTCTAGTGATGTAACCAAGAAGAATTTTAATTTTCAGATCTTTTCAATTTCAACTGTAAAGGAATATAAAAACTTATTTATAATTTATATATTTTATTATGTTTTTACTAATTTGGATGTTAATGTATTTTATAGTTATATTTTCTATTTAATGTAAAATATTTTTACATTATCTTATATATTTAATAATGTTAAAAACTGATAAATCCGATTGAACCATACCGATCGAATTTAAATTAGATTAGTTTGGTTATTATATAATAATGAATTTGGTTGGTTTAAAAATTTTATTAACCAATTAAATTAGATTAATTTAAAAAATATTAAAATTCGAACTAAATCACACCGGAAATACCACTACATAAAATAAATGTTATTAGATTCTCACGCTTTGAGTTAGTCACTAATGTTTACTGGTTAGTGGAGATTATCTCCTATAAATTGCATAGTCAAATCTGATAGGATCTCCTCTCTTATTTTTCGTTATACCTAAAATATGCACTAATTGTCTTCGTCAAGAGAAGAAAAAAAAAGTTACCATGATATTGTTTCAATACGAAAGAAATTGTAGAATTCAACTAACTTGCTGTGTTGGCAAAAAGGTAAAATAATAATACTTTTTAGATTAAGCATTTAGACATATTTTTTATTTTTATTCATATTATTTTTTAAAAAAAATAAAAATAATAGAATTTGAGATACTCTAAAAAAATGTTAATCACATAACTCCTAACTCCTACTGCATTATATACTGATAGTGTAAATCAATTATTAAAAAAATCAACTTATTAAAAATAAATTTTTAGAACTAATACTACTTAATTAATTTATAAAGGATTTGACTAACTTAAATATGCACCAACTAATTAGATAGAATTACAGCCTGTTGTGTTGGCTGGTTGGGGAAAAATGAAACAGAGTAAAAAATTTTTATCCAATTAAATTAAAATAGTATACCAACATTTAAGATTTGGTTATTTCGTAAAAATGAACTTTATATTAAAAATATTTATTAATAATTATAACAGCCGTACTATGGAGCTAAATTTTAAAAAAAGTTTATAAGAAATTAATTAATTCATGGACTATACCTCTTAAATTTTAACTTTAGCTAATAAATTAGGCAGAATTAGATTTATTGTGTTTGCTGTGAGGAAAATGAAAGGAAAGAAAAAGGTTTGTCCAATTAAATTAATACATTAGACAAATATTTTATCTGAAAATATAACAAAATTCGAACTTCTTAGTAATCAAATTTCCTGATTACATCTCTTGTTACTTTCTATTTGATCTTACTACTTTCTAATATTGTCATTTGTCAGTGATATTGATGTCATTGCATGGACAGAATGTAGGAATGCAGCATACCCGTTGTTTCTATCAAGACGCAGTTTGCTTTAAATAACAGGGTATACATAATATGTGTCTC